GAGTCCGAGACAGGCTAAGAAATATGCCACCTAAATCAACAGAGCTACACAAAGCCAGCAAATCACTAAGTGAGATTCAAACGTTAAAATCCTTTTGATCAAAACTGCATATTTCTCCACTCCACACTGTCTGTAAAAGAAGAGAGGGAAAAAGAAAGAAGTCAGAGGAAGGGTATGTGTGTGTGTAAGAGAGAGAGAGACAAAAAGAGAGAGAGAGAAAGGGAGAGATGGTTGTTTATTATGTTAATTTCCTATCTTTTTTTCTAATAAATGCATTTATCACTCTACGTTTTTCTGTAAATGTTGCTTTAATTGCATCCTGTACCTTTCAAAATGTAGTATTTTCATTTTCATTCACTTCAAAAGATTTTCTATTTCTATTATGATTTCTTACTTGAACCATAGGTTATTTAGAAATATATTTCTTAATTTTCACATGCATGGTAGATTTTCTAATTACCTTGATTTCTAACATTATTTCATCTGATCAGAGAACATACTTTGTTTGACTTCCCCCTTTTGAATAAGACTTATTTTACTTATTTTATCGTATAGTCACTTGTTAAAAATATTCTTTGTGCACTTTAAAGGGTTATACACCCTGCAATTGTTGGGTGAAATGCTCTATGGATATTCTCTAGGTCAATTTAGTTGCTTCCAATTTTTTTTTAGTTTTATCATATTTTGTTTTCTTGTTCTAGCAATGACTGAGAAAATTACGGTAAAATCTCCAGCTATGATTGTAGATTTCCCCTCTATTTCTCAGCTTTTGCTTTATATAAATTTGAATTCATATTATTGGAGATATATATATATTTAAATATTTTGAATACTTTGGACAAATTGAAGGATCTATTATTATGAAATGACTATCTTTATCTCTAGAAATCCTTTTGGCCTTAAAGGCTGGTTTGTCTGATATTAATTATAGCAATTCCAGCTTTCATTTGTTTAGTATTGATATAATACAACTTTTTCTATTCTTTCATTTTTCTACAGCATAGACTTTGGTTTTACTTTTTTTTCAGTGAAGAAGATTGACCCTGAGCAAACATCTGTGCCAATCTGCCTCTAGTTTGTATATGGGATGCAGTCACAGCATGGCTTGAGGAGTGGTGTGTAGGTCCACAGCTGGGATCTGAACCTGCGAACCGCCAGCAGCTGAAGCAGAGTGTGCGAACTTAACTGCTATGCCACTGGGCTGGCCCCTGGTTTTACTTTTTTTTATCCAAACAATGTTGGTATTTTCTGGAGCGTTTAGACCAACACTGTACAGTAGAGATATAACAAAAGGCACACGTATAATTTTAAATTTTCAAGTAGCTACATTAAAAGAATAAAAAGAGTCAGGTGAAACAGACAAATAACATATTTTATTTAACTCAGTAAGTTCTAGAATATTATTACTTCAACATATAATGAACGTAAAAACCTACTAATGAGACATTTTATACTCTTTTTTGTTTTACTAAGTCTGCAAAATCTGAGGCATATTCCGCACCTAACAGCACTTAGTAATTTGACTAGTCACATTTCAAGTGTTCAATGGCCAGATATGGCTAGTCGCTGCCGTATTGGATATTGCAGATTTAGAACATTTATAGTGAATTTAATTTTGGGTTTAAATCTATTGTATTCTATGTGATTTGTATTTGTTCTCTCTATTCTGTTTCATCTTTTCCCCTTTGGCCCCTCCTTTTGGACTTACTATTTTTTAATCATTCTACCCACTTCCTTCATCCCTTGTCTGGAAGTTATTCACTCTAGTTCAATTCATTTAGTGGTTACTGTGAGAATTGTATTGTTTATGCTTCGGACTTACAAAATTGATCTTTACATTTATCCTCCTATGAGAGGATGCAGGGTTCTGAGATACTTTGCTTCATTTAACCCTCTCTCAACTTATATGTTCTTGTTATCCTGCTCATTAATTTATAATTCCCTAGACATTTTAAACTGTCAGCTATATTATTATTGTTTTAAATAGTGGATGTTCACTTAGTTTTTTAATTTATATTTCCATACATATTTCTTTCTTTCTTTGCACTTTATTCCATTCTCCATCCTTGAGTTTCCATCTGGGAATATAGATAGAAATAAATACAATGTATTATAAATATGAATAAAAATGATCTTTACCTTAAATGGAAACTACTCTTTAGTTGAAGAGAGAATTATGTATAAACTACTAAGTGAGTAGAGTAAAGTCAGTGGGAATAAGAAGGGTGACTATGGACTGAACAAATAATACTCAAGCTATGGTGGATGCCCATTTTAAATATTATTCCAGACTTATAGTTAAATTCAGCATTATTCCCAAATCTGGGAGCAGGAGGGCCAGCCAGGGATCATTTTAAGTTGTTGCAGTCAGAAATGATGATCTTTGAAATAAATGGTCTTGGGTCAATTGGATATCCATAAGGTAAAGCAATGAAATCACTCGTACCTCATACCATACATAAAAATCAATTCCGGGAGGATAATAGAATGAAATATGAAAGGCAAAACAATACAGCCTCTAGAAAATAATATGGAAGAATATTTTCAAATGCTTGAGGATAGGGAAAGATTTTTTAAGATACAGGCACTAAACATAATTGTAGTGATTGACAAATTTGATGATAAAAAAATTAAGATATTTTGTTTATCAAAAGACATTATGATTAGAGGAAAAAGGCAAGCCACATATGTGGGAAGACATATATAAGGATAAATGATCGATATACAGAATATATGAATAACTTCTTTAAAGACAGGTACTCAATAGAAAAATGGATAAGAGACTTAGGCACTTCAAAAAGAAGATATTCAAATCATCATAAAAATTAGAAAAGGGGTTAAGTTCATAAATTACAAGTTAATATCACTATGATGTTATAGTGCACACCTGCCAAAATGTCTTAAATTAACAATACCAATAATTCCAAATGTTGATCAAGATGTGGAGCAACTGGAACTCTCAGACATAGCTCCTGAGGAAATTAGTACATCTACTAGAGTAGACTTTAATATTGATATTGATGGCACCAGGAGAATTATGCCTCATAGTGTTTATGCCCTTGTGTAGTCCCTTCCACTTAACTATAGGTTTGGCCATGTGACTTGCCAATAATACATCAGCAAATGTGATACAACGTTGAGAAGTCCTCCTACATGGAGACTTGCCCTTTTGGAGTCCAGTCTCTCTATAAGAAGATTAGACTAGACCACTGAAAATGAAAGTCCCATGTAAAGAAAGAGGTCCTAGTCTTCCAGCCATCCCTACCAAGACCCCACATGTGGATGAGTCCATCTTATGTGCTCTATCTCCAGCTATTCACCAGTAGTACACAGCCACATGAGTGAAGCCAGGTGAGTCCAGCAAAACAATCCACCTAACTCATAGGATTCTGAGAAATAAAATAATTGTTGTTTTAAACCAATAGGATTGGAGTGCTTGTTATGCAGGAATAGAAAATGGAGTCAACAACTTTGGAAAACTGTTTGGCATTATGTACTAAAGTTTAACATAAGTACTCTGTGACTTGGTCATTTCACTCCGAAGTACATTACTATCAGAAATATATGCACATGCGTATCAGAGAGATATATAGAATGGTAAATAATACCTCCAAACTGAAAATAACCCAAACGTAAATCAAGAGTAAAACAGATAAGTAAATCGTGGTATGTTTGTATAATGGAATGCCTAATGCAATGAAAATGACCATACTATGCTCATACTCAATAAAGTAGATGAATGTCTCAACTGTAACGTTGAGTGAAAGGACCTGGGCACAATAGAATACATACTGCTTGATTCCATTTATGTGAAGTTCACAAACAAGCAAATCTAATCTCTGATGTTAAAAGCCAGACAGTGATCATCTTAGATCTAGAGGGAGGGGTTATTGATTAGAAGGAGGCACAAGAAAACTTCTGATGTATTGGTAGTGCAAAATGAACAGCATGGTTGTATCCATTTTGTGATATTTCACCTACTGTATACTTTTGAGTTGATCACTCTTCCTGTATTACATATATATATATATATATATATAAATTTTTAAGAAATCTTCTAGGAGAAGTCTTTACATGAATAGACAAGCCAGTTGGGGTGTATAGTTATAAATGTGTTCTCCCCAAAACAAAGAAAACCAAAATGAGCATGCTCTGCACTGGTTAACCTAGGTTCTATCCTGCTGTAACCATTTCTTCTCAGAGAGAGGAGAGAAGTTTGATTATTCTTTCAGATGAGGGCGATTAAGCAAACAACAGCTACCTCAATTTTCAAGTGAGCCTGGGGTGAACTATATGAAGGAAGGCATAAACATTTTCGAATGTAACAGCAAATTTTGCTGTCAAGTCCTCTTATGGGAAAACAGGATACCATTAAGCCAAGGAAGCATGTTATATACTGGCTAAAGACAGTGCAAAAACATCTTATCTGCTTGGATATATAAACAGTGAGAAATTTCATCCTGACTTTCTAGGCACTTTCCGTCTACCTAGATACCTGTCCCTGGTTCCGTTTACTCAATGATAAAATAGTTTCCTTCTTTTCTACATTGTATGGAGAGGATGCTCTTTGTTGGTAAAACTTTTAGTTCACCAACAATATGAAACAATTGAATTTACTGCTTACTCTCAAAACCCCTTTCCACATGAACTAAAGTTATTATCCATAGATAAATTTGGAAATGTTGGTGGAGAATAATATATGGTATGTATAAAACTATTCTATTTCTGAAAAACTTATGTCAGCACTTAGTATGGAAAAGCCTGGATGCCTATATACTCCAAAATTAACATTATTTCTCACTAATTGATGGGATTAGAGATTATTTTTTTATTTTTACACTTTTTTGAGTATTGTAAATTCTTTCAGTGCTATGAATTATTTTTTAATTGTAGAAAAACATATACACAACAAGAAAGTAATTTCCATTTGAAAAAGAAAATCACTTATTCAAAAAACATTTTCTTTTAGGTATTGAGTATTGCAATCCATTAGTCATTTATTTGTTAGAAAAGTGTTTAATAAGCAATGACAATATACAAAGTCTGTCATGCATTAGTGTTCCACTGTGCACAGCTGAGTTATTCTATGAAGGTAGCTCATATAAGAAAAGCAGCTTGGAATGAGGGATTGGACTAGTCTCCTTGCTTTAGAGAGAAACCAGGGCATTTGCCTTAGTTGCAGCATCCAACGTTGTACCCTGCTGGGGAAATAAGGAACAAATTACTGTTTTATCCTTGTGGTAATTTACTTTAAAGTATTTCAGACTAAGCATTGTGCTGTGTGTGTTTCTAAGCTGCCTCTTATTAAACCCATGGGGTCATTAATGAGCACGTGAATTGCCCTGATCTGAAATCATGACCTTAAGAGTTGGTGATTTGGCACAGGAAGTATTCTTTCCTGAATTAATAAGGAGTTTGCTTACTGACATAAGCGTTGGTAGAAACAATGAAGTTATTAGTATTTAAAGTATGTGATTAGTTAGGAGAAGTGAACAGGGTCACTTTTTTTTTCTCCCCAAATGCCCCCAGTCCGTAGTGGTATATTTTAGTCGTGGGTCCTTCTAGTTGTGGCACGTGGGACACCACCTCAGCGTGGCCTGACGAGCAGTGCCATGTCCTCGCCCAGGATCTGAACCGGCTAAACCCTGGTGCTGCCGAAGAGGAGCGCCCAAACTTAACCACTTGGCCATGGGGCCAGCCCCACACCTGACATTTCTTGTCAGCTCTTCTGAGCTTCCTTAAGCTATTTCCTGCATTCTTGGAGAGATATCTCCTCTATTTTCCTTCTCGTACCATTGTCTGCCCCTAACCCCTACTTCATCACTCAAGTGTTTCCTTAAGAAATACATTCTGTGAGGGCTATTTGAGACCAGGCTAACAGGTGAGAAGACAGCGTCGGCGGGGCAGGCTGTAGACTTAAGTCTGAGAAAGTAGGGAAAGAATTTTAGACATGGCCAAGCTGCTGACTTTCTAGTACACAACATGCAAGCATGGTTGTGAACCTGCCTTCTAAAATAATTGTTGAGGGGCCGGCCCGTGGCCTAGTGGTTAAGTGCGTGCACTCTGCTTCGGCGGCCCAGGATTTTGCCAGATAGAGTCCTGGGAGCGGACATGGCACCGCTCGTCAGGCCATGCTGAGGCGGCATCCTGCATGCCGCAACTGGAAGGAGCCGCAACTAAAAACACGCAACTAGGTACTGGGGGGATTTGGGAGAAAAAGGAAAAATAAAGTCTTTAAAAATCACAAAGTGGGCAATTCCTTTCACTCAGCTTTTACTGTTCTTTGTCACCCTCCTGATCCTTTCCTGATCTGTAAACAGGTATAATTTCACCTCAAATTTCTTGCGTTGACTGTTTCATATTCTGTTTGCTGGTTATGTGTACTGGGGAGACTTGAGGGGCACACAGGGCTTTTCCTTGCTCCCTCATCCCCTTTTCCACACCAACCAGGTGGGCAGTGTTCAGAGCATCTCTCTAGGTGATGCCAGTGGGCCTTGTGGACTGGCTTAGCTGTGAGACTTCTCATTCCGGTGTTGGTTGGGGAACCTGGAAGTTAACTAAGAATTGCCTCATAACCCTCAGGAAAGCAGAGCTGTGTCCTTTCGACTTTAGAGGGAAAGAAGAAATGAAGACAGAGCACAGTGTTGCTGTCTGATGGCTCTATGGGTGATGTGCAGATTCCACCACTCTGTCAGCCTGTGGGTATCGTTTTCAGTGAGACATGGATTCAGTGAGATATTTATATCAGTGAGATATTGATGTAAAAAGCATGACTTTATTTCAGCAGAAGTAGCCTGAACTGAGACAAGAACTACAGTGGAAGAAAAGGTTTGCAGTATTCTGGCATTTTTAAAAACTATTTAAATGTCATAATTGCTCTCTGAGCCAAAAGAGCTGACTTCATTCCTAGGTAATTGTCCCGGGAAGAAGTTTGAGGGACACAGAGCACGTGGAGTATTCAGTCCCTCCGCGAGAACAGGGCAGCAGGTTCAGATGAGCGTGCATGTCCTTTCTGCTCATGGAGTCCTTTCTGCACTAGTTCCTAAAACTGTGTCCTTTCTTTTGAGAACTATGGGGAGCAGCTAATATGGTGAGATCATGGCAAATTGGGGCCGCAAAGGATGGCAGCTCCCGTATTTATTCAACCAACATTTTTTGCACACCTGGTGTTTGCGTAGTGGGCTCCAGGCTAGCAGCTAAAGATATGATGATGAAGACTGAGATCGAGAGATGGCAAGGGAGACAGCTGTAATTGGGCCGTTTCAATTTTCACAATTATATAAAAAGTGCCACGGTAGGCGTGCCAATAAGGCACAGTGGCAGCACTGAGAAGGAACACCTCATCTAGTCTCAGGAAGTCAGGAATGGGAGAACCTAAGGAGGAACCGAGGCTAGCAATTACAGAGAATGTGGTAAGGAGCCGAGTTGCTTTAACAACTCAGTACACTGTGTACGCAAACCCCAAATCAAAAGATAACTTGCAGATTCACAAGTAGTTCCTTCTAGCCATAGTTTATTCTGAAGCACACAACAGCTAGAAAGGAATTCCAGAAAAATCGAGTTGATCCTGAAGAAAAATTTTCCTTCTGATTCACTCCCCTTGATAAAGGTGGGGCTGGACCTTAGAGGCCATTCCAGCAAATGTTCCAAGAGACTTTCTATCAAAAGAAGTTAAAACTAGAATATTAAAGCTTTATTGAAAGGTCGTAATTGAAAACAAGATTAGGATGCACATCTTGCACTTTCCAGTTCCCTGTTGTCATAAGCAGACTCTTCCACTGCATTCAGGTGTGCTATGTCACAGAGCACAAACACTTTCATCCTGTTATGAAATGTCCCTTTCCGTGTATGACTTCCTTGGCTTTAATTTTAGTAATTTTATTTCTTTTTTAATATGTAAAAACACATACCATGCAAAATGTACACGGCACAGAATAGAATGTACGATGTAATGTTAGTTACCTCTCATGCCTCACCTCAACCACCCAGGTCCATCCTCAATTTTGACCATACTTACTAGTTTATTCTGTATTTTTCCTGAGATAGATCAGAGACACGTGTAGATTTGCCATGCTGTAAATTTACTGGTAGCAACTATACGCATTGTTCATCTTTCTTTTTCACTTTATGATGAATCCGGAGATTTTCCCATGTTAGTACAAATAAAGCTTTCCCTTTCATTTTAGTGACTGAAGAGTATTCCTTTGTACAAATGGCTCATGATTTTATTACCAGTACCCAGCAGAGAGAGAATTGCTTTGAATTTTTTCCTGCATACCAATGCTACAACATATATCCAATATATATGACATTTGGTACATGGACAATTAAATCTTTAAGATAAATTCCTAAATTTGAACTTGCTGGATTAAAGGTATGTGCATTTAACACCTTGATATATAATTATTCCAATTTGCACTCACTAGAGAATATGAGAGCTTTCTTGTTTCTCCAAATCCTTGCCAACTCAGTATCCCATCAAATACGTTTTGCTTTGCTAATCCTAGAGGTGAAACTGGGGCCCCGTAGCTTTATTTTGCACATCTCTTATCATTAATGAGGCTGAATATATTTAATTTCTTCTAATGTATTTGCCATTCTTTTGGATAGAGTTGTTCTTTTTCTCACTGCTTTAAAGGGATTCTTATGGCTTAAAGAAATCATTTTCTGTGATATATATTAAAATGTAGTCCTTGTCACTGTATTTTTGCTTCACTTAGGTTTTTCTGTGAAGAATGTCTTTTGCTAGGTAGGTGAATTTATCAATCTTTTCTTTTATCTATTTCCATTATGTTATACTTTGAAAGGGGCTGCTTACTCCAATATTATTTTTTTTAAAACTCTCCCGTATTATTCAATTTTACAGTTTAATTTTTAGTGCTTATATCTTTGAACCATGTGAAATTTACTTGGTAACTTTTTCCAGATGGCTACCTTATAGTCCAAATACCGTTTGCTGGATATTTCATATTCCTTCACTAATGAAAATGCTAAAATTGCCATCTACTGCATTTCTGCATGACTTTGCACCAATTTCTAAACTTCCAAGTCTGTTTTGAACTTCAGGTGCCAGTACCACAGTGTTAACTGTTGGGACGTTTTAACATATGCTAAAAGATATTTCCCTCTCATCTGTTTTTTTTTTTTTTTCCCCCAGAATTGCATTGGATACTTTTGCTTGTGGCTTTTCCATATAAACTTTAAAATTAATTTGTCTATTTCCTAAAAGAATTACGTCTGACATATTTTTTGAATCACCTTAAATGTATACATTAACTTAATATTGAAATTTTAATTTCTGTCCATTTTTATCAATTTTTATGTCTTACACAGCATTTCAAAATTTTCTTCATGTAAATTTTATGTAGGGGCTGGCCCCGTGGCCAAGTGGTTGGGTTCGCATGCTCCACTTAGGCGGCCCAGGGTTTTGCTTGTTTAGATCCTGGGCACGAACATGGCACCACTCGTCAAGCTGTGCTGAGGTGGCGTCCCATATAGCACAACAAGAAGCACTTACAATTAGAACACACAGCTATGTACTGGAGGGCTTTGGGGAGAAGAAGAAGAAGAGAAAAAGAAGATTGGCAACAGATGCTGCCTCAGGTGCCAATCTTTAAAAAATTTTACATACTTCATGATAATTTTATTTTATTTTTCTTTCTTTCTTTTATTGAAGTAACATTGGTTTAACACATTATATAAATTTCAGGTGTGCATCATGATATTTCAGTTTCTGTGTAGATTGCATCCTGTTCACCAACCAAAGACTAATCACAATCCATTACCACACACATATGCCACCCACCCTTTCACCCTCCTCCCTCTACCCTTCGCCTCTGGTAAGCACCAATCCAATCTCTGTTTCTGTGTGTTTGTGTGTCATTGCTTTTATCTTCTACTTATGAGTGAGATCATGTGGTATTTGACTTTCTCCCTCTGACTTATTTCACTTAGCATATACCTTCAAGGTTCATTCACATTGTCACAAATGGCTGGATTTTGACTTTTCCTATGGCTGAGTAGTACTCCATTGTGTATATATACCACATCTTCTTTGTCCATTCGTGCCTTGATGGGCACTTAGGTTGCTTCCCAAGTCTTGGCTACGATGCTACAATGAACATAGGGGTGCGTGTATCTTTATGCATTCGTGTTTTCATGTTCTTCGGATAAATACCCAGCAGTGGAATAGCTAGATCATATGGTAGTTCTATTCTTAATTTTTTGAGGAATCTCCATACTGTTTTCCATAGTGACTGCACCAATGTGGACTCAAACCAGCAATGTATAAGAGTTCGCTTCTCTTCACAACCTCTCCAACACTTGTTTCCTGTCTTGTTATAGCCATTCTAACGGGAGTGAGGTGATATCTCATTGTAGGTTTAATTTGCATTTCCCTGATAGTTAATGATATCGGATATCTTCTCATTTGCCTGCTGGCTGTCTGTATATCTTCCTTGGAGAAATGTCTATTCAGATCTTTTGCCCATTTTTAAATTGAGTTGTTAGTTTTCTTGTTGGTGAGATGTCTGCTTCTTTATATATTTTGGATATTAACTCCTTATCAGATATATGTTTCTGAAAATAATTTAAGGACTAGGATTCCAAGACCTTCTTCAGAGACCCAAATGATAACAAAATGAAGATGCACATCCTGTAGTGTCTGTTTCTTGATGTAATAAGTAGACTATTCCTGTTGAACTGACCTATGCATTTTCTACCAGTGTTACGTAGAACTTCCCCATTCTTTGTATTATTAATTGTTTTAATTTTAATAATTGTATTTATTTATGTTTGACTAAGTAATAATTCATGCCAGATATGAAAGGCACAGAAGAATAGACTATGTAAAGTTAATCATCCTCTTGTGTCTTACCTCAACTGTCTAGGTGTGTTCCTACTGTGTCCATGGATACTAGTTTATTTTGTATTTTCCAGAGACAGATGACAATATATATACATTTTCATTATTTTCTAAATTCAGTGGTGCAACTATACACACTTTCTTCATCTTTTTTTTTCACTTATGATCAACTTTGGAGATTTCTTCCTGTTAGTAGAAAGAGAGTTTCCCCTTTCATTTAGTGACTGTAGAGTGTTCCATTGCAAATACGTCTCCAGATTTACCTCACAAGTCTCTGACAGAGGGACTTTAAAAGTTGTTTCCAGTCTTCAGGAATTTCAATAATCCAGCAACAGATATACTACTACATATGTCCTTTTGAACTTCGGTGAATCAATCTAGAAGATAAATTCCTAAATGTGGACTTGCTGGATCAACCGTATTTGCATTTAAACTTTTGATGTATATTTGCACCAACTTGCACTCTCACTAGCAAACATGAGAGATTGCCAGTTTCCTGAAACTGTTGCCAATCTGGTGTCCTATCACAACTGTCCTTTCTGGCCCACCTGACAGGTGACACAGGAACGTCCTAGTTTTGCTTTGCGTATCTTTTATAATCAGTAAAGTTAAATATTTTTATTCTCTTATGATATTTTTGCTCATTCAAAAAATGTGGTCTTTGATCTTTCCTCGCTGATTAATAAGGGCTCATTATAGCTGAAGGAAATGATCTCCGTGACAGTAATAGACATTGCAAATGTTTTATTTATCTCACCATTTGTCTTTTTGCTTTGCTTAAAACTTTTGTATGGATAAATCATTAACTTCTAACTTTTTCATTTCTTTAAATTAATTAATTCAATCAAAATTGTTTTTTGGGATATCAGATCTTGATATTCTTTGGTTGTCACTTTTTATTTTAAAAATTTTCTTGAATGAAACTAGCATGACACATACATTTCAAAAATGGGCCACATCATTATGCTATTAAAATGTAAGAAGCCTTTTATAATATACCTAGGATTTCTCCACATGTTTCATAATCATACTGAGACATTTCATCCCAGAAGCAATTAGCCCAAAGGGTGGGCACACTGCCGTTAGAAGCCCCATGGTAGCCACATCAAGGATATTTGAAAGGTCATCAATTTTAGAGCTTTCAATCTCCCTTTTTAGTTTATTTATCTCTTCATTCATCTGCTCAGATTTTTTTTGAAATACTTCAGTAAGTAATTCTTTTTGGATCTGTGAAAAAAAGAGAGTGCATTTTTGGAAATCCCCATTTATCAGCACTTTATTTTTAACAACTGCCGCGGCTAAGCACGTGCCTCTTTCTTTACTGCCTTCGATGCTCTTTGATGAGTCTGTCCAATATTTCCAAATGATTGGACCTAAATAGTGGGAGTCTCCATGGTTTACACCTTCCTATGATACCTCAGCACGATCTCACTGGGTTGGGGAGGAGTTGGCAGTAGGTCAGGCCTGAGAACTACCTAGTAATGCGTTCCAGTTCTAAGAATGCACTTCAGGAGGGAATGTGGATATAAGTCTAATTATTTCTAGCTCCACTGAAGTAGGATGACCACATGCATGTAACAAATAGTGAGAACTGCTGACTCTCTATAGAACACTGGCTATCAAACTCCCGGTTGGGACAAAGAATGCATTTTACACTAGGTGTGTAGAATGAGTCAGGCAGATCGGGAAGCAACTGCAGCAAGTCTTGGAGCTTTCAGCATCCCATATTTCATATCAGGCACAATCTGATACTCTCAAGACCAGATGCATCTATTTCAGGTCTCTTTGATGATGGTACCTAGTGTGCTAAGGACTATAGGACTAAGGTCCTATTCACCTAGGGGCACAGTGAGACCCTATAGCACCACAAACAGCAGTCAAGGAGCCTGTGGCATGTTATCTGTACCCTCCAAACTCTTAACACTAGAGAAGGAGTTGGGGTCTTATAGATTTAGGGCTTTCGCATGATCTAGGTTTATTTCAGTGATTCATACGCCTTTTGGATTTCCCTCCAGTATCAGGATTTGGTTAAAACTTTTGTTCTTCCCTTCCTAAGATACTAGGGTTTGTCCATCAGGCACTCCTCAGGGCCCATCCAGACTTACCTTCAGCTCCCTCTCCGATTGCTCTTTCAGTTGGGCCATGTTTTCCTGGAAGGTTCTCTCTTTAGCCTCCATTATTTGATGCTGTTCCTTCAGTTTCTGTCTTAGCAGCTCCTTTTCCTTCTCAGCTGCCTGATTCTTGGCACGCTCAGCTGTTGCACAACAGTTTTACAGAGGGAAGCAAATAACAGTTATGCTGAGCTGTACCGTTTTGAGCTCAGAGACTAAAACGACTTTAAAATGGCAGGGATCAATCTCTGAATTCTACCCTGAGCTACACAAGGAAAAGCACATTTCAGAATGTGATGGAAAGGCACTGATTGGCTAAATGAGCAGACCAAACACCCCCGGTTATTTTCAGATATAGCAGACTGTGCATTCCAGAGGAGAGGAAGCTCCTTGTTTCAGGAAGGGTTTGCTCCCACACCTGTCAGAGGGCACAGCAGGAACCTACCCACCCCGCTGTGAGCCACGCCCTCTCCGGTACCTGCTAAGGCCTTCTCCCCATCGGTGAGGGTTTTGTCGGCCTGAAGGATGGATGCCTCTACTGCTGCCTGTGACCGCAGGAAGATCTGGAGGACCTCGTTTCCCTGAGGACAAAACAAGGAGGAAAGACTCATCAGGTAACAAAGATCTAGCCTCTTGCTGGGGAAATTATTGTTCAATGAAACCCCAAATCAGACCCTATGAATTCTACATCTTTCTTAGGATTCCACAGTGGCTTCTTTCCATCAGTGGCCTAGACTCAGTCCAAGCTTTCTAGTAAGTTATGAAAACCCTCTATAGCAGCCTCTTTCCCAGCTCTCCAGCTTCCTGTCCTAATGAGGCCAGGTACCCCCCAACACGGATTATAGACAACCACACTTATGTGCAGTTCTACAAACACATATCCTGCATTGTTTGCAATATCTGGATGTTCTTTTCTTCTGACTGGATGCTTGTCTTTCTTTCTTTACTAGAATATCATTTATTAATAATTCTACTTGTAACTCCTACCTCCTCTTCCAGGGAGCTTTCCTAAACTTCCTTCTGAGTTTTGAATGGCTGCCAAGTACACAGAGCTGCCCACCAGCTCTACCACTTGCCGTGTTTGTAGGCAACTTATTAACTTCCGGTAAATCACATTTCTCAGTTATAATGGCGATGACAGTAGTACCTAATTCATATTACTCTGAGGATTATGTTGATAACCTAAACACAGCACCTAAGAATACACTTAATTTAGGAAGTGTGTTCAATATACGTCACACATCACCATTACCATCACCAACCTTGCCATCACCATCACCAGCATCAGCATCACTGTCCGTGTATACCTGTATGACAACCATCATCCCACCATATCCAATTGACTATTTATATCTCCTTCTCAGGTACGATCATACGCTTCTTGAGAACAACACTGTTTCTTTAATTATGTATCTCCTATATTTTGTACAAAAACAATTACATTGTTGGCTAAATGAAAGGAATGTTCTCTTCTAGATTCCTGATAATATATCTTATATTTGGGAAGAAGTATTTCTGCTTTATTTAAGAGTATCTAACTAATTGTGGATAAAAAAGCTAAAAATGTGGAGATATCACCATGCTCTACTTTCTCTCCACAAATGGTGCTGTGGTCTGAGGTTTTCAAAACAACCACCAAAGAACTTCTGACTCCACTCTGCTGTTCTCTCCCCCTCCCTTATTTCTCACCTTAACTCCTTTCCTGGGCACCAGCTCATAGTCCTGTTTGACCTTGTTCAATGCTTCTAAGTAGAGCTTGTGTCCTCCAGGTACAGAGAAAGTTCCTCCTGAAATACTTTCCATCAGGGGCTCTGAAAGCCGCTGAAGCTCATCCTGGCAATATTTGACAGATGCCTCTTCATTCTGCAGTAAGAAATCCTCCTTATTTTTCTCTATGATGCCCTGCCAGGGAAATGTGGAGAAATCCAATAGAAAGAAGCTGTTAGAAGGGAAGGTCCAACTGTGATCCTTTTGGTAAAATTAGTCTGACAGCGTCAGGGAGGCCTGGGACCTGCAGTAACAGACCAGGAGTCAGGAGACTTGTTTTATTCTCAGCTCAGATCCATTCTCTGTGTGACCTGTGGAAAGTCCCTTAAGTCCCTTGGGCTCAGGCTCAATGTCTGTGAAATGTTGGGGTTTGTAGACATGATCTTCATGATTCCTTTTCATTGTTTTAATTGAGGTATAATTGACTTATAACTTTATATTAGTTTCAGGTGTATAATGTAATGATTTGATATTTGTATACAATGCAAAAGGTCACCACAATAAGTGTAATTAACATCCATCACCTTACATAGTTAGAAAATTTTTTTCTTTTGATGAAAACTTTCAAGAACTACTCTCTAACATCTTTCAATATGAAACATAGTATGGTTCCTTTAACAGTAGTTGGATTAACAGGGATCCATCTATGGACAATAAGCAATGCAAAGTTCAAGATGAGTAGAAGTTGACTTGGCTCTGCAAACTTGGGTTGCTATGGATAAAAATGTATAAATACAAATCACCAACCCAGCCCTGGGTTTTCTGGGGTTAAGATTCAGTGTTCTCACTGCTGTGGCCTAGCTTCATTTCCCAGTCAGGAAAACACACCATGCATTTGTTGGTTATAATACTGTGGTGGCTGTATGTTGCGGTGATGCTTAAAGTCATTCCTCCAGTATTTCAAATATAGCAGAGTCAGGGGCTGGCCCCGTGGCCGAGTGGTTAAGTTCTTGCACTCTGCTGCAGGCGGCCCAGGGTTTCGTTGGTTCCAATCCTGGGCGTGGACATGGCACTGCTCATCAAGCCACGCTGAGGCAGCGTCCCACATGCCACAACTAGAAGGACCCACAACCAAGAATATACAACTATGTACCAGGGGGCTTTGGGGAGAAAAAGGAAAAAATAAAATCTTTAAAAAAAAAATAATATATAGCAGAGTCAGCCATGGCGGACAGGATTCAGTGGAGCTTCCAGACTAGACAGACTAGAAAGAAGCACTTAGCCAACACTTTCAATAAATGGACCATGACAGCCCTACGAATAGCAGTGGAGTATTGGGTGATACAGTGCTGGAACGTGAGAGGACAGCACAAAAAAGTGGGCAGAGTTCTGCTCTGCTGTACACAGGGTTGCTAGGAGTTGGAATCCAGTGGACAGCACTAACAACAAAGCGAATCACCTGCCCTGTGATGAGTTAAGTGGTCTCTGAACAGAGTTTTAAATCCTTCATGAATTGTTTCAATGAGGATTTGAGTGTGCCAAAATACAAAACCAGAATTTTTTTCTGCTGCACTTGTAAATTACAATCCAGTTGGCTCTCTTCCATATGAACTGAGAGATTTTTGAAACTTGCAGGATGGGCAAAGACGGACTCAAAGAGTAACATTTGGTGAAAGTGCCTACACTAAGCAGAATTGTGATGTCCTCAAAGAGTTCTCTGCCCTGGTGTCCACACTCTGCATAGTCCCTGGGTTTGTGAATACTAGGAATATTAATCTTGTGATTAGATTATGTTATAGGGCACAGGTTGACTTTAAGTAATGGAGATTACCCAGGTAAACATTACCTAATCTCCTGAGCCCTTTAAAAGCAATTTTCTCCAATTGGTGGCAGAGAAGATAGTCAGAGAGATTAGAAACAAGAGAAGGATACAATACAGCATTGCTGGCTTGAAGATGTAGCGCAAGTTCCCCAGAGTCTCCATATGATAATATAAGCCCATATGAACCTTGTTTTCAGCTTGTGGAATGCTGAGCAGAGCACCCATATACCTTGTGCTGGGATCTGACCTGAAGAACTCTGACCTAAAGTGCATGTTGTTTTAAGCTGCTTGCACTAAGACAGACTAGGAAGAAGGACCTGGCCACTCACTTTCAAAACAAAGAAAATTGGCCATGAAAACCCTAGGAATAGCAGTGGAGCACTGCCTGATAACAGTGCTAGGAGATGAGAAGATGGCACAAGAAGGCTGAGCAATGTTCAGCTCTACTGTGCACAGGATCGCTAAGAGTTGGAATAGACTGGATGGAACTAACCAACAAACAAAAATCACATGGTGCTGTGTTTTGCCATATTAGAAAGTAAGAAGCCAATCTTTAGAAAAGGATGGACTGTAGCCTGTAGAGTCTTGTCACTCACAAGAATTGAAGCTCCTTTTTCGGTGAGCACATAAGCCATAGAGTCAAAAAGGGGGAGTCTGGGATCATTCTAGAACGACAGGAAACAGGAAGGATATAGACTAAGGCATGTTACCAGGAGCTTGGTCTGGAACTCCCGCTTGTCATCCTTGAAGGAGTGCTCCATGAAGATTGCAATGGCGACCCTCTCACAGGCCTCATGCACATGCAGCAGCTCCTGGAGTGTGTCTGTGGGGAAGCTCACTCGCTGGGCCATCTGCTCCCTGTAGTGGTCAGCTGCCTTCTGCACGGCTGCTGCGTTCTCACGCTCAGCCAGAGTTGTCACTGAATTTTCCAAACAAGGAACACCTCCACTGTTGATGGTATCTACGTAGGTCACCACCAGATTCTCTAGTCCTGAATGACACGTGATATTAGGGAATAGAGAGAAAGTTCTCACCATTGTGTTACAAGACTTAGAGATCAGCATTCTTAAAACAACAAAAACTTTTTTGAATATGAACTTTTCTTTACTTCTCTTTCTTCTCCTCCTCCTCATCTTCATCCTTGTCCTCATCCTGATTTCTTCCTGCTTCCTCTTTTATGAATCCTCCTCCTTGTAATAAAATCACTGTATATCCTATCTACTCTATCTTTTATGGTTCTCAAATTTGTCACAACACAATATTTAGTTAAGGATCTCAACTAATATGGTCAAAGGTTTCTTAGAACATTTTTGCATTACAATCAAAGTAAAAAGACCTATTATACACGGAAGTAAACTACATAATTTGTGGGCAATATTTCCAATGAAAATGTGGGGGCCCATAAAAAAATTCATCAAAGATTCAAGTCAGTGACATAAACATTAAACCAAGCGTGGGCCCCTCCCAGTACCAGGCACTGGGAGACTGTCGAGGTCAGAGGACCATGAAGCCAGCCCTGTACATAAGATTAAACTTAAATTTGTTTCTCAAACTCTGAATGAGCTTGCTGGGATTCACGCCCTACTATTAATTTTCTAACTGGTGTAAATGCACAAAATATTTTGTATTTTCTCCTTGAGAAACACTCACTTATCCCATCTAATTACTTCTAATCACCATGCAGATTTCTATCCTTAACAGCAGCTTGTGCTTGTACCATTAGTGCATTCATTTCATGGGATATATTGGATCTCAATAAACCTCCATACAGGGAGACAAACGAAGAAACATGCATTTCTACATATGGTGTGAACGTCTACTTTTCCACAATACATACAGAAGGAAACAAAATTACTGACACACCCAGAGAGCAATCACAGCTTCATCACACAGTAAACCCCAGAGAGGCACCTGTAACAAAAGGGACTCACGATTCCCGGTGACAGTGATTCCCTCTCTTAGGGTCTTGGTTTTTGCCTTGGCAAAGATGTATGAACAGAAATTTTTGGATTGCTCCCGGAAATCCAATTCTAGTTGGTATTCGGATGCTTCCTCAATATGTTGCAATAATTTTTTGTCATTTATAGGCCGGTCAAAGACAAAGCACTTTCGTTCTGGAAAGAACTTCCTGATACACTCTCTAGGCATGTTGGAATTTTGGATTCGGGGATCCTCACCTGCAGAAGTGGAAAAAGATCATTGAAGGGACAGCCTTCAGGCAAGGAGACTGGGGCCTTTCGTTTCCAGTGATCTTTGCATCACTGGAACTCCTGTGCCTGTAAATCTCCTTTTTTTAATCATGCAAGTCAACCTTATGCTCATCTACTCCAGGCATGGAAAATCCTTTTATTGTACAAGGCCAAGAGTGAAGGAAGTACTTCTGGGGGCAAGGGGAGGGATCCATGCCACGTGAGGAAACTTATGACTGTTTTCCTTAGCCCTTACTTGGTGTGCAGTGGATCAACTACATATTAGATGTTTGTTGAATAGTAGATTAATCCAACAAATTGTCAGAAATACTTTTTTGATATTATGGTCCTCATCTCAGAAATGAAATGTGGCCTCTAAAGTAAAGTAATGGTAGAAATAAGGGTATTTATGATATTGCTGGGAAAAATCTTATGGGGGACAAATGATACTCAGGAAGGAAAGAAAAGCTTTATAAAATCAGATTAAAAAAAAGAGACACTATAAACATGTTTGTGATTCCTATAGCACACATGACTGAATAGTAAGGTTCACCTGAATATAACTTGAAGACCTCAACAGTTCTCCATATCAGAGAGTCCAACATATTATATTAGACTTCACAACATCATATAGAGTGATTCTGGGCACATATCCGCTGTTCAACAAATATTTGTTGAAAAAATGAAGCAGTGAGTAAATAAATAAAAATGGATGTTGCTCCTAGCTCACCACTCATTATCCTCTCCACTAAATGTAATCCTTGTAATGAATTTATTATATGATGTGACGACATACTGCGTAAGGCTGTAGAATGAAGAGGGTGATGTCGTGAGAAAGAACACATGAATGCTTTGACAATCTAACTGGAACGACATGTCAATGCTTTTTATCTGAACTATTTGGTATGTAAATATCCTGTGTATGAAGGGTATAATTATATAGGCTAGTAAAATATAGCGTGTGAAATATATTTCAAACATTAGTTCATTTGATTCTCTGTGATTCAGTGCCTACCAATCGCCAGTTTGATGCTAGTTTTCTTGAAACAGGAGAAGAGGAGGAGCACTTAGACTTAATAAATAATGCGAGTATGTGAGCTGTTTTTTCATGGTATCCATTTTTCTAAAATCATTTCGTTCAGTATTGTATCCTAAATTTTCTCCATGATCTTAAACTCAGTTTGCAGGAGACTTTCAAGTAATAATGATGACTGAAACCATACCCTCCTGTCAATCACTCTTAGCACGGGCCTCAGTCCAATCCCAAATGAAGATTGACATCAAGTGCTGAATGACAGGGGTAAGTTGATCCCATCCCCTACTGAAACTTCTACCGCTCAAGCTATGTGCTGATACCTGGAATCAACTTCAAGGCATTCTCCAGGTACTGATCAGAAGTGATGGGGCGTCCATCTAACTGCAGCTCCAATGTGAAATCCCGTACAGTCCAAACAAAGTCTGGAAAGAAACTCACAAACTCAGCTGAGTCATCCACTTCACCAAAGCTGGGAGAGGATCTCGTCCTGATTAGCTTTGTTAGTTCAGTCACATAGCTGGGATCTTAGCTAAGGAATGCGAAGTGCTGTACACCACAGTTTCCAGATCTCACCCAGAGACAAGCTTTATAAACATTCCCCTTTGCCCTGTGTCCCCTTCTCCTCCACCATGAGAACTGAGTCACAGGAAAGAAGAAACTGTCTCAGTTGTCATTCTCATAAATTCAACACGACATGGTGGTTTGGTTCCTGGAAGGATACTGCAGCTGCTCGAGGGCCTGGCGGTTGATGGTGCCCATGCTGTTGTAGACAAATACACTGCTCAGAAGTATGGCCAGTGTGAAGATCCACAAGTCATTTTTAGAGTCACCCTAGAAAGTACATTACAGCAAGGGAATTAGGAGTCTACTCTTCATTCACTCTTTCAGTTGGTCCTTCACTATGCCAGCTGTACTATAACTGAACAGTAGGACAAATAGCATAAATTTCGAAGCCACTGCTAAATTCTAACCTCATTTTTGGTATTGACATTGACCTCTCTCAGGGCCTTAGTTTCTTTAGCTACTAAGAGAAGTGAACAGTACTGTAAATGTATGCCAAATGTTTAATATAGTGTCTAGAATATGGTGTTGTACAATGATAAGTGTGCAATGATTCCTTTGCAAATTTTTCTCCATCATGGGCTACATTAGGGACATAAACACTATTCATTTAACTCGTCATGGTGCATCTACAAAATGCCAGACCTGCGTTTGGTGGATATAAAGTTGCATACGTTGGTCCCCACCCTCGAGACATGACTTCTGGAGGGGCAGATGCAGTCGGCAACATGTAAATGCCTCCAAGATGATAAACTTTGACAGGAATGGAACCAAGTATTATAATGTAAAAGACAAAGGGAGAATGACAATAAACCAGAAAAAGTACTCTGTGAATTAAGGGCAAGAAGTGATTCTGTTTGACAGCAATACGATGGCATTAGGCCCAAAATAGATAGGCTTTTAAGAATTGAGAGAATATGGAATTCTGGAGATAAGGGGACCATGGAAGTGGAAGGACAACAGAAGCCAATCAGAATTGTCAGACAGCGTAGTCATATAAAGGTATTGTACGGTGATTTTATCTGACTAGGGTAGTGGTTATGTGTTTTGGAGTAGGAGAAGAGGCAGAAGACGAGAGTCAGGGCAACTCACGAGTGCCTTGGTAATAGAATTAGATATGACCTAGATACACTACAAGTTCTAAGGGCAGCAAGTATTTCCTCTGCTATCAGTTTACAACTTGATGTGTTTTGGTTCTTTGACAAATGCAATTAGATAAAAAGAAGAAGGTTTATGCAAACTGCAATCTATTAGGCAGCAGCAGACCATCTTGGGTTTACATTGAGTACTTTAACCTGAATTTTTAAATTCAGAATTTGTGAATTCATGCCCCAACTCTTTTTGGCACTAATGGAAGTCAAATATCCACCGCCACTACTTTCAATTTAGACTCCGACTAGTAGAAATAAGGAGACAAGATTGACTGCAACTAACACTATGAAGACAAAATACCTAAACTTACACCATTTACAATGCTTTTGGTGGGTGTAGCTCAAGTTTTGCTAGAAGTCAGTAAAGAATTCACCTTTGAAGCTCAGGGAGTTGAAGTAAAACCTTAATGAATGTTTTTGGTATAGCTGAAGTTTTCCTGGAGATTATGTAATTAGATGGTTTCCCTGAAACTCTATTTTTATGGTTTCTACTTTCAAGTCCATCAGCCTCAGACATCTTAACTTGTAGAGATCATTGACTGCATGTGTTATTGCATCCTCCAGGATTTTCCCCTAACCTCAAAGACTGGGTTAGATTTTCACTTTTTGTATCCACTGTTCCCTGTACTGATAACAGTGCATATTTCTTATTTTCCCAACTAGGCTCTGAGTCTTTACCTCATTCACTGTGCTATCTGTAGGACTTAACACAAAGCCCTGGAATTCAGCCGCCCAAGAATTATTTGTTAACTAATATCTTTCACCCCAGTGTTAAAAATGAGAATATGTATCACTAATAACCAAAGTATTGAACTTACCAAGGAAGTAAATTCAAGGAGCAGAATTTAGCCTCATTATTCAGAAATGGATTTGCAGTTTGTAGGCATGTGTCATAAAAGTTGAACTGAGGTGGCAAATTAAAATGTAAGTGGAGTATCAAGAGCAAAGAAGACTCTCTGCCTTACCTTTTCCACATCGCCCAGGCCCTCAGTGTCTAGTAGGACCAGGGTGTGTTTCGCCTTGGAAGGGTGGGGTATACACCACATCCAGATACCCTTGGTTTCAGACCTCACTGTAGAGCCCAGAGGGAAACCTGCAAGAGAAGAGGAGAAAGCAACATCCAGTCATAGCAGACAGTTCAGGCTACTCATGGGTTGCATTGATTCAACTTGTGGAATGTGAGTGCCTGTCTGGAAGGAGTGTGGCTTCCATTTCAGGAAGGACAGCTGACCCAACCTTTATGCACAGTAAGAACTTTCTCAAGAAACGCTTCGTGTCCCTTATTTACCTCATACCATCAACAGCTCAAACTATGTCATATTACAGAATTAATGTAAACTCTGTTAACCTTTGTATTTTTATCTGACAGTGAAGAGCTCCCTTGTCCTCCAGTAACTGATGGAGTTCAAACAGTGGGAGGCACCAACTCTGGTGTCCACTAACTGACTGCCTCTTCAGGCTGCAGGATTTATAACAGCCACCTGGTGCTTCCTCATTCCTCAGGTTCCCTTTCCTCTGCTTATGCCCTTGTAAATAGTCCACCATTAAAACTCCTCAATTACCCCTTGAGTGGCTCATCTGTGTCCTGTCAGGAGCTGGCCTCATATATCACCTTTTGTTGGATTTTTTCCTTCCCTTCATCCCTGTATTTTCCTCTATTGTTTTCTCCTCTTCAAGCAAAAGATAAGTTCTTTGTTCGTTTCCTCAGAAGGGGGATATAACAGAAGGGAGAGCAGAGAAGACCTGTGAGTCTTGCCTGCTCCTCTTTCCCAAGGGAGAGGATGTTAGGTATATGCCCAGGAACCTGTGGGTGACATATCTTGTCCATCAGTCCAAGATTATGACCTTGTGCCATTTGTCAATGCTTCTTTAACTGAGAACAGAAATGTAGCTGATGAATTACCAAGGGGAGCAGGGTTTATCATGATTGAGGCCATTCAATTCCCACACCCTGTGAGTTCTCCACAGAGAGGGTATAAAGCCTGAGATGGTCTGTACTCTTCTCTATTGTAATGGTGTTTGAGTGCTTGCTGATTAATACAAAGTAATCTGAACTCCCAGTCCCTCCAGGAGAAAAGACAAAGTGTAATTGGCTGTCATCACTCTCAGTCACGAGAGGCAAAAAACACGCAAAGCAAGTCATCCCCGGGAGAGAGTAATGACCTGGCCCTGCTCGTGGACCTTGTCGAGGTGCAAGTCTCTTTTTTCTGTTCTTCTTGTGATACGAGTGGGGTGGTAAAGTCACAATTCAGGTGTTTTAAAACATTTTGAGGTTAGGAACTTTCTCAGCATTGGGAAATCACCTCATTTAACCTGATGTTATCTTCAGTAGAATAAAAAAAGATATTTTTGAAACTCCTTGACTGATGTCTCTGTCTTAGTGTTCCCAAATCTTTAATCCTTAGATAAAAAGTTCTGTTAATTAATTTAGGTCAGGCAAGGAAATGTGTCCTCCCCTCACTGTTGATCAAGAATTCCTCTAAGAGAAAGACAAAGGGAAAATGTTTTGTTAGGAGCCAACGGGAGATTGGGAAGCAAAAGGAGAGAGAGAGAAAGGAAGGAACGGAGGAGGGGAAACAGATCGAAAGAAAGAGACAGAGACAATGAGATATTCCTGGGATCCTTAGAGTTCAGTGGACTGAGGTCAACCCTTAATGGTGCTGAGCCTCTGAGCCACAGAGGAAAACATTAGAGAATAAATGGTGTGTGGTCTTCATTGACAGAAAGGCTTAACAGGACCTAGGCAGATGTCCTCAAAATCGATAAGAACCAAGAAAGGCAACCTGGTAAAGAAACCAATCCAAATCCAAACCAAAAACAAAGCAAACAAGAGGTCATGAGAAAGGAAATGCAAATAGCAAATAAACATGGGAAAAAGTGCTCCAGCTATTTGGAATGAGCCAAATAACACGCAACTATACAGTCACCAGATCAGAAAAAGTTAAAAAGACTTTTACCAAAGCTTTTTGAGGAGTGCAGAATTCTCAATTACTGCTAATAAGCATATAAATTGCACAAAGAGTTTGAAAAGCTGTTTGATATTATCTAGAAAGGCTGAAGATGTGCATAATCTGTGACGGAGCATTTCCACTTCTGGCTACATCACACAAGGGAAGTTTGCGTACATGTGCACCAGAATATAAACACAAGAGTATCCATGACAGCCTCATTCATAAAGGATAAAAACTAGAAATACCAACTCATCAAAACAAATGGATAATTAGATTGTGGTGTCCTCTGACAATAGCACACTATAATATAGTTAAATGAACTACACAGGCATATCATAAACCAGATGATTCTCATAAAATCTTGTTGAACAAAAGAAGCAAGATCCCAAAGAGTCCACAGACTGTCATTCCCTTTACATAAAGTTTAATCTATTCTTTAGAAATGCAAACACAGGTTGTAAAGCCCTTTACAAAGGAAGAGTGAAAGTATGCACCATGAAAATCGAAACATTGGTGAGCTCTAGTGAGGGTAGAGAGGGTGTGAGTTGGGTTTCTTGGTGTTGATGATGTTTTATTTCTTGCTCTGCACAGTGATTACACAGACGATCACTTTATATTTATTAACTTTATTGTACATGTATGTTTTATGCATTTCTCTGTATGTATCAGAGGTCACAAATTAGAAAAGACTAAATAGAGAAAGTGAAGGGGGCATAATTTATCAAAGTTTTGCTGTGAATTGAAGCAAAAAAATGGATGGTAGCCCCGTTGAGATAGGTGCCATACAGGGTTCTTGTGTCTGTTCTTCCTTCCATCCCTTTTTAAAAATGGGCCATACTGAGCAATTTGTGTGCTACTTGAAATGACCCTGTAGTTTAGGGCAAAAGTGATGTAGGAGAAAGGAGGGGAATAATTGCTGGAGCTGAACTCCTGAGCAGATGAGAGTGGATGGGATCAATACCAGTGGGGTGGATCTTTTGGTAGGGTTGGGGAACTTTTTATTACTGGACTAAAGAGTGAGACTTTGCAGACAGATGGGGTTGAAGTTATAAATTTGGTGGGGAGAATTAGAAGTTTTCCTCAGTGGGAGGGGTCAGGCTCTTCCTTAAGATGACTCTAAAGGAGGTGTGATCAGCTCGTGTTATCACTGCTCCCAAGCACGTCACCCCTTCCCGAGGACAACACTCACCACGGCTCTGTCCTGCCAGGCGGTTCATTAGGTAGGATTTTCCTGTCCGATAGGGCCCTGCAATGGCCACCACCACCACAGGCTGAGATATGTTGCCAAGAATTTTCAGTGCTTCTGGATTGACCATCAGGAGATTTTTCTGGTTTTCCACAAGGCAAATGGGGGCCGTCATGGTGCATACAGATGCCATGGTAAGCTGTAACCCAGAGGAACAATTCAGTAGAATGCAAGATCTCAAAGTCATCTCTAACGATTACACAAGTCACATGCTCATCAGCTTTCTGCGTGGGGAACTTATACGTTAATTTTTCTACATTCTGCATGTGTCTAAAATAAAGTGTTTAGCCTAGTCTGTCAAGGCCTGGTACAGATACTTAGTGTACATTATCTTATTGGTTTTTAAATGAATCCTAAAACAACCTTGCCTACATGTGATGCATGAAAAGACAGAATGAGAAAAACAAAGCACTGATGATGGAGCCTTGAGAGCAGTAACATTGTGGGGGTAAGTAGAGGCAGAATGGGACATGAAGGAGATGAGTGTGCAGAGAAGATCTCAGGAGTTCCAGAAGGATTTGCTATTTCATTAATTGCACAAACATTTATTGAATACCAGCCAAGTGCTGGGCTCTGTTCCAGGTGTCACTGAGGAAAAATCATTGTAATTTAAGCGATAGACATTGAGTTGGGCAATTAGATTTGCAATTCGGGATACAAAGATTTAGGCAGAAACCCAAAATGCGCCCTGGAGAAGCAAAAGAAGGCAAGGGTTTATAAAGACAGAAAGAGATAAATCACACAGGTTGTTCTGCAAGACGTGTGATTGGTGCTGGTGACAACAGTTATTCCCTGGCTACCTTGATTGGTTGTGTAAGGCCATCTCTAAGGCAAAAAGTTCTTATCTCTGAGAGTAAGCGTTTTTTTTTTTTTTAAATGGAAGTTCACGGAAACAACAGTGAGGCACAGTTCAAAAACTGACACTCCATCTGGGCAGACTCCTGGTGTACTTGCATAAGCCTCACTTCCTTAATGGCCTCGCAGCTCCATTTTAGAAGCTGGACATGTGTTACTCCATTTTGTTATGATTCCCCACAGAGGTGCTCAGTATCAAGCAGTGAACAAGATGGATACAAATTCCCGCCTCCTGGAGCTCCATCCTGGTGGGAGGAGACAGATAATAAAGAAAGCAAAGTAGCAAAATACATGTATGTATCTTAGATGATGGTAAACCCTCAGAAGAAAATAAGCAGGGAATAGGGATAGGGAGCCTTGGGGGATGAATTTGTATAGAGGCTAGTCGGGGAAGGCATCTCCTAGAAAGAGAAGAAGAAAGTGATCAGTGACCTTGCTGAGGACCGGTTTAGTGAATGGTGGGCGCAGGAGCAGGCGGCGGGGAGGAGTGACTGAGAGAGAGAGAAGAAGAGATAAGGGATGTAGCTGTGTCAAAGCACAACGGGACAATCCTTACAGAACCGAGACAGAGTTATGGGGGCGGGAATTAATTTATTTACCTGGAATAAAAGGATATTTCTTGTTTATAGGCTGCCAGGGAAGAGAAACAGTAGCCAGGGTGTTGTAGGGTCTGCCTGGATCGGCCAGAGTGCCACATCTGGGTGAGCTTCTACTTTCAATGTTTTTGTCACAAGGGCTGGGTGTTTCAAGAAATCTAGAGCAGGACAGCAGTCAAAGAGCTTCGTCCTTTTATTTTCTCAAAGCCAACGCTAGGCAACAGTCACATGTTTCCCTACTTTGCAAGTTATGTGACCACTGGAAAAATCATTAATTTCTCTGTGCCTCAGTTTCTTCTTCCGTAAAATAGCAACACTAAAACTCACAATCTATTGGTCATTAGGGTGTTTAACAGGATTAAATATCTCATAACATTTATAATGCTCTTTAATCCTGGTGGTACATAGTAAATCCAAATAAAAACTGAGTGTCTAAGAAGACAAGGAGGGTAGTTTCTAAATGAAGGTGAAGGATTGGCATTGGACTGAAACAGTAACAGTTCTCTCCCAGGTTGCAAGCAAGTGGGGGACACATCCGATGAGGAGGATGAGCAGGTGGGAGAGGGCCAGCAGTCAGAGCTGAGCAGGAAGACACTGATGGAGGATGAGTCGGGCCGGAGGAACCTGCAGCTGCCCTGGGAGGTCAGAGCACACATTCTAGATTCATGCTGCCAGGGTCCAAACCTGAGAGTTCAAGTTACTTATTTTCTGTGAGATCTTGAAAAAGGAACTACCTCTGTTAGTTTCCATTGTCTCATCAGTGTTATAGGTAAGACAATAATTCCTGCCTGATTCATGACTGTACAGGCTGGTAACAGGCTCTCAATAATTAAAAAAATTTTTCCAGGATTAATGTACTTTTTGAACAATAAACAAGTTAGGCAACATGTTAAAATATGTCAATATGTTCAGTGAGCTGTAAATTGCCAAGAAATAATAAGTTATCTAAGATCTTTTTGTCAGAAAATAACATCAATTTGTTTAACAGACTTCCGCTGTATAATTTCTCTTCTTTTTCTATAGCTGACTGGGAACAGAGTTGCGGGAGAAAAAACATAAGCTTTTTATGGCGTATCATAAGCAGGAGGAATTGTAGAGTTTATTTGTTAGATTGAATATTTAAAAAGCTATGGGTAGGAGAAGTTAACCAAAGTATACTGAGGAACCCAAACAAGAAGGTTTTAACTTCAAAGTTAAACAGGTAAATGAAATAGCTCTATTGGATGGCAGAAAACCATCAACCGTTTGCAAAGGTTTCTGTTCACCAGAGTCATCTGGAGTGATGGTTAAAAATTTCTCAAACCCTGTATTTTCAGCAAGTACCAGAAGTTATTCTGATGCAGTTCTTGTATGCACCACACATTAAAACTGGTGCATGATAAAGAAACATGATTAGACTTTACAGTTATTATTTATAGTTGATTAGTGAGAGATGGAATTATTCCATATAATACAGTGTTGTATTTGGAATATTAAATGTAAATACAAAAATAATCAAGAGTCAATCATTTAAGATTTAAATTTTCTGTTAATCACCTTTTTTTTGGTTTCTCTAATGCCTGGCCGGGAGCTGTCAGGAAATGTCTGAGGAAGGGTGAGGGAGGTGGAGGAAGCGACCCCACCCAGCGCCTTTATGAGGGGGTAGGACTGTTCCATCAGTCAAGTAAGGACTTCAGCCCCCTTTCCGCAGATGAGGCAGGGTGCACGCCTCCTTCTCCCACGCAGGGCTCTTTGCTGCAGGCCTGGGTGAATCCTAGAGGGGAGACCTTCGCCTCGCTGCCTCCTCTGGTGCAAAGGGAGTAGCTGAGGCAAAGCGCCCCCCAGGCCACACAGCATCCGGCACCGCGGCCTCCCCCTTGCCGGGGTGGAGTGTGCGCTTGGGAATTTGCGGTTGTTGGTCTGTTAACGCAAATGTGCCTGGAAGACCAAGTTTAGGAGCGAACTTACGTGGCGCGGTGCTGCAGTCCGGGAAGAAGTCCTCAGGGGCCCTCGCTCGCTCCTCCTGCGTCTGGCTCCTGTGGGTACGAACTCTTCTCTTGAGAAGCTGGAAATCGAGCCGGATGTTGCACCGAACCAGTCATAGGGTGGGGTCGAGGAGAACGAAATCGAAAGGATCTACTTTTGGGCGAAGTTAACCGTTGGGTTTTCACTGTTTTTCCCCCGAGGCAGGACACCTGATGAGGCGGGAGGAAAGTTCGCGCTTCCTCCACGCCTGGCTTTGGAAACGCGGGCGCCTCCGTCCTTCGCAGTTGGCTTAGGTTTCCTGACCCCACAATAAATGCAGGGCAGCTGAAGTGAAAGTGGGCAAAGAAATGTGTGTGAGAGAGTTCTGCGCCCTGTCTCTCAGGGGTACTGTTGTGAGGCTAGGGGTTTGATATTAATTTTTTTCTTTTGAAAAATTTTGTACTTCATTTTTTATCTCTTTCCCTTTTTAGAGGACATGTTGTTTTTACCTCAGTGATTTTTTTTCATCAGCAATAAACTTACCCTTGTGTGTGTGTGTGTGTGAGTGTGTGTGTATAGAATCCCTGATTTTATAGCCCAGATGTATTCACTGTTATTTCGTTGCATGTGCTTCCAGAATTTTTCTTTGCTTGTACTAGGGTGGATCCTGATTTGGTGGTGGTGATGGTGTGGTGGCTACTGAATATAATCTGAGGGTCCACGTCAAATAAAGTAATAGAAAGATGCAAATTCAAAGGTGAATATTCAGAATCAGCAAAAACATAACCAATAACTTTTAAAAGCTGACAAGTGCTACCAACATTTTCTCTCATCAGTTTTTTTCTTCTAAGATACCTCTATCATATTTGAATTTCAGTATGAGCAAAAATTCTGTCACATGTTTGAATTCTATATCAGGGAAATTTTAACTCACTTTTAAAAATTGCATTCCATTATATTAAGCTAAGAGAACAAAATTGAGTCAATTAATTAAGAGTGTCAGTTCCATTTTGGCCAATACATTTCTGTGAAACGAGCTCTTTGACAACAGCAGTGATAAACAGAAAAAACAGATGTTAGGCTCAATTTTTACAGCACTATCAAAACAAATTTCTAATATCTAACTTATAAAAAAGAAAACTGTTGGGGCCAGTGGTGTGGTGGTTAGGTTCCTGAGCTCCGCTTCGGGGGCTGGGATTTAGGGGTTTGGTTCCCTGATGCAGATCCAGCACTGTTCTTCAAGCCGTGCTGTGCCAGCATCCTACATAGAAAACAGAGGAAGACTGGCACAGGTGTTAGCTCAGGGCCAATCTTCCTCAAAAGAAGAAGAAGGGGGAGGAGGAGGAGGCTGTTACGTAAAATAAGACATCAAAAAATAAAATTTCATTTCGAAAAATTTTAATCCTCTTTTTTCCTTTGATATGTGATGTGAATCTACCAATCATATTTTCATCAGAAAATTGTCTTTCAGTGAATTTATATCCTGTCCTTCCCAATTTTAAGTATCAAAATGTACTCTGCATGAAATTATTGTGAAATGAGCTCATTAGTTTAAAAAATGTCTTTATTTGTCTTTAAAATTTTTTCCAGTGATACTTGGGAGTGTATTTTACTGGTATTGGAATGCAAATATGGGAATCATTAATGTTGGATATTTAAAGATATCTGAGTTGTCACTCTTGGTGAATCTGTATCATAGAGGAGAAAATAATAAAACGTAAAGAGAGAAGTGATGCTTGTCAAATAATGGTGCAAAGAAAGTACTTATTAAACATCAAAGTGCTTGATATAGCTAGTAATGGAACTAATTATATTTGGAATATTTCTACATGTCTTCACAGAGGATGTGCCATTACTGCTGGAATGACTCATATTTTAGCAAGAAGAGATTGGAATAAATGTATTTTAGAGCAAAGGAAGGGAATAAGTAAATACCCAATGATAGAAAGTAACTACTAGGAATCAGCCAGTGTCCACTGTGGCCAGCATAACAAGCTGATTGAGGATGAGTTTGAAAGATCAGTTGGGACCTGGGTCCTGGACTTCTTGTACAAGTAGATTCTTGAAGGTGATGAGGTGTGTACAGAGCTGTGCTTGAGTTCCATTGATGGCAGGAGGGGAGAGAGGATAAAATGGGAAAGACAGGAGATCCCCAGATAGAGATCTGGAGACAGGATCTTCTAGGAGATATGCTCAACTTGGAAGGCATGTTGCAGTCCCAGCCCTCTAGGCCTGAAGGGAAGCATTGCTCTCAGAATCATTTAGTGATTGAGATTCCTTCCATCCTATTGTTCTGTATCTTTGTATGTGTGTGTGTGTGTGTGTGTGTGTGTGTGAGGAAGGTTGGCCCTGAGCTAACATCTGTTGCCAATCTTCCTCTTTTTGCTTGAGGAAGACTGGCCCTGAGCTAACATCCCTGGCAATCTTCCTCTATTTTTTTGTATGTGGGTTGCTGCCACAGCATGGCTTGATGAGTGGTGTAAGTCCACACTGGGGATCTGAACCAATGAACCCTGGGCTGCTGAAGCAGAATGTGCCAAACTTAACCACGATGTCACCCGGCTGGACCCCAGTTCTGTATCTTTTAAGGCATTAGGATTACCTGCAAGGTAAAAGTTTGACTGCTGCCACAACTATGATTCAGAGAGTAGTCAAGGAAAGGAAGGAGAGGTGGAGTATAATCTCAAAGTTCCGTGGCCAAGGGTCACAAATGGCAAGTGCTTTGGCATATATTCCACATGCAAAAGTAATCACATTGCCATATGTAGAGCAAGAGCAGCTAGGTAAATATAATCTTTAGCTACATTGCTATTAACTTATCTTGTGAAATAGAATGATACAATATTTACAGCTGAAAGGTACATTATAATTTTAAAAGTACGTGCAACCATATCAGGAACAGAGTTTGGTAAAATCCTGATATTAAATTTTGCAAATTGAAGACTTGAACCCATGTTGGAAAATTATCATTGCCTCATAATTCCTGAGCCAAAGAGATTGATTTAAGGGAAGGGTGGGCATAAAACCTAAGACGAAATAAAGGTTGTCCTTTCTCAGTTAACTGGATCCAGGAAATCACCTGGATCCAGGAATTTTTTCTTTCTCTTGCTCTTGCTCTCACTCTCAGTCTGGCTTTCGTGTTCTTCTCTCTTTCGTTTTCATTAATTTTTTGTTGTTGTCAATGAGAGTATTAAGATGCGAGTCTCGAGATGAAGAATGTAAGGCTACTTAGATATGTTTGGCTCTGAAACATGATATATATTATTATTTATAATGGGGGAAAGTAATTTGGAGTCTAACTTCCAGTTTCTGTGGTTTGTAATTGCTTCAGGAAAAATACTTTTTAAAATTATATTCTATAAGTCTAATTCACAAAAGTATAATATTGGAAAAGGAAGAAAGATTAAAATGAGTTCCTAAAGTGATGGCAGCCAATGAGGCTTGATTTAACTGAAATGAAGTTTTCTCCTTTTCTATTAATTCAGCTCCAGAAAAAATGCTTTAGCATCTTGTCTTAGAAGTTGTGCTTATTTGTCACCTAGCATGCTCAGCTTTGTATCTGGTGAAAATTCTGAGAAGAAGACTCTCATTTTAACATCCTGCTACTCAGAGTTTAGCGAAAGACCACAGCTGTGGATGGACCAGTATTCTAAGAAGCTCAAACCTGAAGCACTTGATCAGTTCAGAAGTCTGTTGAGTGCAATTCTTCAGCTGAGAAAAATGAGGGTACAAAGGAATAATGACACTCTGGGGATAAGATTCACAGGCTTGGGGAATTCTAGGATCAGAGAGAGTAGGCACTGTGACAAAATGGGAAAAACAGGGCAAAACTAAAAGCACCTTGGATATTGGTGGGCATAGAAATAAACAAGATAAAAGAACAGGCATTCAGAACTACAGAAAATGTTGAGACAACTTACCTTGCTTGCTGATTTGGCTGTAATAAATGTGTCATCTTGCTCACAAGCTGGAGTGGAGGTGTGTCACCTGAGAAAAGCACACTCTCATTTAGTCCTGTGTAACTTGGAACATAAGGCTTAAAGGGAAAGCTGAAATCACAGTTTTCTGCATCTGATTCGGTGTGGTGAACACACACACACACACACACATATCTCATTTACACATTTCTAACACTTGTCAGGGGAGGTCCATTTTAAGTTGAGGAATGTTTACTTTGTTACTTTGATGTCAGGTCTCACTGTTGAACCGATAGTGTTCAAGTAAAACCTTTTCCAGATCTCATTTATAAAGCGGAAAAAGTTATTCCTGGTTTAATGTTTCCTTCTACCATTTTTGGAGTATCAGAGAGTTCATGTAATCAAAGTTCACAGACTTTAATATTGTTGGGTTTGAAGGAGGTGTCCATTAGAGCTATACTGAAGGAGACAGCAGGATCTAACACAAACGGGCAGATCTAAGTGTGTGTGTTCATCCATTGTAATGGAGGTCTCATTCAGTGCTGGTGGGTCCTCTAATTTTCTTGGATCTACAGATACTTCACCAGGAGTATGTACCTTCTCACTCGCCTCCACTAACCTTTAAGAATATTGGAGTCTAATAATCATGTTACAATTTTATGAGTATAGAAGAAATCTTAGACTACATAATACTAGCCCGCCTAGTTCCTGCATGACAAGTGATTTAGACATCTATGAATTATGCTGCTACCTCTTGGTCTTGGTTCTTACTTGAATGTAAGGGGAATGGAAATTGCAGCCATGACCTGACAGGGACCCACTCTGATTAGTCCAAACTTTCTCTTTTTCAAAGTACTCCCAAGTCTTCAATACACTCAGCTGACTTCTATTTCCTATTTCGTGTCCTTTGCATTTGCCTAGTATTTTACAACGATAAGAAAACAAGGGGAAGTCCTTGCTAGTGCAGCTAAATTTGCAGCAAACATATAAATCTCCTTTTAAACCTATAGCTCTTCAGTTATCTCCTTGTTTGTGCTGTCTACTAGGACAACAGCACAACATCAACATATACCTCCCAAGATGAAGGTTTTCTCAATTCTTGGGGATGGGTTTGGCCATTTACACAATACAGAGTGAGCTTAAAACTCATGTGACCATGATTTCCATTGGTTCTCAGTTCTTCAGTTTCGACATATTGATATCAAACTTGAAGTGAGTTCACTCGCCCGTTGCGCAGCAAGCCAATCTCTGACACCAGGTGTAGTGGAAGAAAGTAGGAATTTTATTATTGTACAGTACTGAGCAAGGAGAGAGGGCAGCTAATGCTGAAATCCCAAAC